AACCCAAGTCTAAGGTCTTTAAAGCTTGCTCTGCCATACCAGATCTTAAGCAGCCCAGAGCAAGTTGACGATAAGTTATGCCATTTGGTTTACACTCGCTCGCCTTCATAATTTGGTACAGTCTAGCCCCTTTGTCGACAAATCCATGCTTGCAGTATACAGAGATCATTGAATTGAATTGCTCTACAGATTTCAATCCTTTGGTTGATTTCATTTCTAACCAAATTTCTTCAGCTCGGTTTAACTGTCCAATCCTACCAAATGCTTCAATGGCTAGCATGTAACTTTTAGATCTAACAGAGGGGAGTTCTTGAATGATGGTCCAAATTCTTTCCAGCTCCTTCTGGCTCCCTAGATACCCATACAAAATAAGTAGGACATCCAATGTTGACCAGTTATTCCCTGTAATAGACTTCTCCACAGCTTCTACATATGCTTCAGTTGCAGTATATAATCTGGCCACTGCATGAGCAATAGCCATAATGCAGTAAGATATTTCATTTGGTTCAACCTGTGCTTCTTTCATTCGACAGAAGACCTTCAACAAATTCTCGAGATTATGTTCACTGGCCTCTATTTTCATCAAAATATTGTAGGTGGACACATGTGGGGGAACTTTATCAGCCTTCATTTGGGTGAGCAACTTGGGTATCATCTTCTTGCGCTCTGGCGATGAATGAAGAATTATGAGACGGTTGAAAACCAAGTGCGAAATGGGAAACTTCAATTCCCTCATTCTCTTCATGTACTCAAGTGAAAGCCTTATGACACCCTTATCCAAGCATGCAATCACTAGATTGTTGTAGAGCAACTCATTGTGAAACTCAACCGGAATTCGGGAGAACAACTTCTCACCATGTGAAATCCCATGAACCTTAATTGTAAACTCAACAAGATAAGAGTAATCCAGTTCCCTAGGTCTGTAGGGTCTTTCCCTGATTACCCATTCCATCACCTATCAATCAGCACAAAACGGTAAAACCTTCAGTATATCTACTCTATCAAGTACCGACAAGCAATACATTTTCCATTCTACAACATTTAAAAAAGAAAAATCCAACATTGCTTAAACTTAAATAGTCACATTCACTATTNGCTGTCCAATCCTACCAAATGCTTCAATGGCTAGCATGTAACTTTTAGATCTAACAGAGGGGAGTTCTTGAATGATGGTCCAAATTCTTTCCAGCTCCTTTTGGCTCCCTAGATACCCATACAAAATAAGTAGGACATCCAATGTTGACCAGTTATTCCCTGTAATAGACTTCTCCACAGCTTCTACATATGCTTCAGTTGCAGTATATAATCTGGCCACTGCATGAGCAATAGCCATAATTCAGTAAGATATTTCATTTGGTTCAACCTGTGCTTCTTTCATTCGACAGAAGACCTTCAACAAATTCTCGAGATTATGTTCACTGGCCTCTATTTTCATCAAAATATTGTAGGTGGACACATGTGGTGGAACTTTATCAGCCTTCATTTGGTTGAGCAACTTGGGTATCATCTTCTTGCGCTCTGGCGATGAATGAAGAATTATGAGACGGTTGAAAACCAAGTGCGAAATGGGAAATTTCAATTCCCTCATTCTCTTCATGTACTCAAGTGAAAGCCTTATGACACCCTTATCCAAGCATGCAATCACTAGATTGTTGTAGAGCAACTCATTGTGAAACTCAACCGGAATTCGGGAGAACAACTTCTCACCATGTGAAATCCCATGAATCTTAATTGTAAACTCAACAAGATAAGAGTAATCCAGTTCCCTAGGTCTGTAGGGTCTTTCCCTGATTACCCATTCCATCACCTATCAATCAGCACAAAACGGTAAAACCTTCAGTATATCTACTCTATCAAGTACCGACAAGCAATACATTTTCCATTCTACAACATTTAAAAAAGAAAAATCCAACATTGCTTAAACTTAAATAGTCACATTCACTATTGAGGGATCAGACTATTACTACACATATAACTGACCTGAAGGGCACGTTTGTTCTTTTTGAGCTTCCTGAGCCGATTAATGGAGTGAAAGACGTCACCGCCGTGAACGGGAAAGCCATCTCTCATCCAACTGCGGAAAGCAGAGCCAACGAGTTCTCCTTTGGGGAGTCTCTCGATTCTCCGAGAGAGGGAATCCTGGTTTTGTGTCGCTTGAGCACAGAACAATTTCAAGGTAAGAGTGCCACAAGGTGTTTGACGTATTAACTGAACCAACCACTCTCGTGCGAAGAAGCCTGTCACACTTCGAATGCTTTTGTTTATCATCGTAAACCCGAATAATCACACAAGACTGCAAGGTGTTACAACACGTTCAGCTTTAGTTACATCTTTAGTATACACATTTTTCTGGTGTACACATGGTTATAAAATATTTTCCATTGAAATACCACGCTGCATGTTGCCTTCTGCATTTTATTTTTTCTGAAAGCTAATAAACATTGCAGAATGAAAGCTCATAAACATAACAGCAGCATTACAACGCAATTCATGAATTAGAGCTCAAAACGAACTTAAAGCAACAACTTAAAACGCTATTCAAATCTGGAAACGAAGCAAAACGAAATGGAATTTAAAGAGCAGAAACGTAATGGGATTTAAAGCACACAATGAAATTGCAATTAAAATGAAAAAGGTTCAATACATTAAAAGTAAAAGAAAGCAAAACCGGGGAAGGAAGAAGAAGAAGCTCCCAACTTGAAATCCTAGAGCTGAAAAGGCTGGGAGGTGTTTATATAACCCAAAAGACCAAAATGCCCTTCTAATGATCATCAATGAAGAACGCCCAGCCATCAGCTCCTAATTCAAACTCATAGTTCGCCAAAACAAGAAATAGAGGAAGAGAGGAACAATCATCAATGAAGAAGAGTGGTGCTTCTATCTTGCGCACGAAAGGAGATGCGAAGGAGAGGAGATGATGACGCGGTGGTCGGCGATGACTCCGTCAACAATGGATGTCGCCGGTAATGCCTATGGCCAGGCGGAAAGACTGACACGGCGGCTAGCTCTGCGGTGTTAAGGGCGCACCTGTACGTGAGGAAGTCGATGCTTCTTTAGGTCTCCTGATTGAGAAAGAGCGGGATGGGCCAACCCCTTTTTCTTTTCCTGACTACGTCTTTTGTTTACCTTTCTTTATTTTATTTTTGTTTTTTTATTTCTTATCTTGTTCTTTTTTTTATTATTTTTCTTCTCTTGGTTTTGGTCAGGGCCAGCTTTTTTTGTCTCTCTGGTCCAAATTTGTTTTTTTCTGGGTCCGATAACACTACTAATAAAAAAAAAAATGTTTCATCTTATACCTCTCTTATCCTACACTTTCAAAAGTTTCATTTTTAATATGAAATATGTATTTCCAACTTTTTTAAAAAATTTATTTTTCATAAATATATTTTGTTTTCTTCTCTTTTATTAAAAACACTTTAATAAATACTTTTATATTTTTTTCTCTTTCTTATTAAAGTCCCTCTACACCATCTTAATAATAATCTAATTTAATTTAAAATTTAAATATTATTTAATATAATTTTATATTTTAATAATTATTAAAATATAATTTATATCATAATAATAGTTATATTAAATAAATAAATATCAAATAACTAAAATAAAAGTAATACTGATAAAAATAAAAAATAAAATAATAACAACAATAAAAAAATTTTGATTTAATATATTTAAATATATTAAATTATATTAAAGTATTACAATAAATTAAACAGTTATTAAATTTTAAATAAAAACAAAATTTTTAAAAATTTATTTATAGGATAGAGTAAAATATGTTAATAGTTTTTTATTTAAAATTTAATAAATATTTAATTTAATTAAAAATAATAATATTCTTTATTATTTTTCTAATTTAATAATTATTAAAATATTATTTATATTTATAATAATTTTATTAAAAAAGTAAAATAAAATAACTAAAATAAAAGTAATAATAATAAAAATAAAAATAGTATTCAAAATCACGATATTTAAATATATTATATTATATTAAAATATTTATTTAATTAAATAATTAATAAAATTTAAATAAAAAATAAATTTAAAATTTATTAATCGGATATAGAAATCCAATAATATATCAATCGGATATGGATATCCGATTAAGAATTTTTTAAAATTTTATATTTTATTTAATTTTAATAATTATTTAATTTAATAATATAATATAATATAATTTAACATATTTAAATATATTAAATATTAAATGTGATTTTAAATATTATTTTTATTATTATTATTTTTAGTAATTTTAATAAAACTATTATAAAAATATATTATATTTTAATAATTATTAAAATATAAAAATATAATAAATAATATTATAATTTTCAATTAAATTAAATATTTATTAAATTTTAAATAAAATAAACTGTTAGCATACTTAAAATTTTTGTTTTTATTTAAAATTTGATAATTTTTTAATTTATTTTAATATTTTAATATACTTTAATATATATTAATATATCAAATCAAATTTTATATTATTATTATTATTATTTCATTTTTTATTTTTATTATTATTATTATTTTAATTATTTTATTTTATTTTTTAATATAACTATTATTATAATATAAATCATATTTTAATAATTATTAAAATATAAAATTATATTAAATAATATTTAAATTTTAAATTAAATTAGATTATTATTAAGATGATACAGAGAGATTTTAATAAGAAAGAGAAAAAATAAAAATGTATTTATTAAAGTGTCTATAAAAAAAATATATTTACTAAAATATAAAATTTTTAGAAAATCATAAGGTTAAAAATGAAACTTTTGGAGGTGCAGATGAAATGTTGGAGGTGTAAAATGAAACACTCATAAAAAAACTCTCCAAAAATCAAATTTAGGTTAAATTAGAAATTTTATCTAATTTTTAAAAATTTCAAATGATATTATGAAATATAAAACTTTAATCTTTTTTACGAGTCGACCTGCAGTTTATGAACCTATTTCCCAAACTGATGCTTATTTATGTAACTCTATATATTACATTATTATTTCCCAAAATGATANCTGTCCAATCCTACCAAATGCTTCAATGGCTAGCATGTAACTTTTAGATCTAACAGAGGGGAGTTCTTGAATGATGGTCCAAATTCTTTCCAGCTCCTTCTGGCTCCCTAGATACCCATACAAAATAAGTAGGACATCCAATGTTGACCAGTTATTCCCTGTAATAGACTTCTCCACAGCTTCCACATATGCTTCAGTTGCAGTATATAATCTGGCCACTGCATGAGCAATAGCCATAATGCAGTAAGATATTTCATTTGGTTCAACCTGTGCTTCTTTCATTCGACAGAAGACCTTCAACAAATTCTCGAGATTATGTTCACTGGCCTCTATTTTCATCAAAATATTGTAGGTGGACACATGTGGGGGAACTTTATCAGCCTTCATTTGGGTGAGCAACTTGGGTATCATCTTCTTGCGCTCTGGCGATGAATGAAGAATTATGAGACGGTTGAAAACCAAGTGCGAAATGGGAAACTTCAATTCCCTCATTCTCTTCATGTACTCAAGTGAAAGCCTTATGACACCCTTATCCAAGCATGCAATCACTAGATTGTTGTAGAGCAACTCATTGTGAAACTCAACCGGAATTCGGGAGAACAACTTCTCACCATGTGAAATCCCATGAACCTTAATTGTAAACTCAACAAGATAAGAGTAATCCAGTTCCCTAGGTCTGTAGGGTCTTTCCCTGATTACCCATTCCATCACCTATCAATCAGCACAAAACGGTAAAACCTTCAGTATATCTACTCTATCAAGTACCGACAAGCAATACATTTTCCATTCTACAACATTTAAAAAAGAAAAATCCAACATTGCTTAAACTTAAATAGTCACATTCACTATTGAGGGATCAGACTATTACTACACATATAACTGACCTGAAGGGCACGTTTGTTCTTTTTGAGCTTCCTGAGCCGATTAATGGAGTGAAAGACGTCACCGCCGTGAACGGGAAAGCCATCTCTCATCCAACTGCGGAAAGCAGAGCCAACGAGTTCTCCTTTGGGGAGTCTCTCGATTCTCCGAGAGAGGGAATCCTGGTTTTGTGTCGCTTGAGCACAGAACAATTTCAAGGTAAGAGTGCCACAAGGTGTTTGACGTATTAACTGAACCAACCACTCTCGTGCGAAGAAGCCTGTCACACTTCGAATGCTTTTGTTTATCATCGTAAACCCGAATAATCACACAAGACTGCAAGGTGTTACAACACGTTCAGCTTTAGTTACATCTTTAGTATACACATTTTTCTGGTGTACACATGGTTATAAAATATTTTCCATTGAAATACCACGCTGCATGTTGCCTTCTGCATTTTATTTTTTCTGAAAGCTAATAAACATTGCAGAATGAAAGCTCATAAACATAACAGCAGCATTACAACGCAATTCATGAATTAGAGCTCAAAACGAACTTAAAGCAACAACTTAAAACGCTATTCAAATCTGGAAACGAAGCAAAACGAAATGGAATTTAAAGAGCAGAAACGTAATGGGATTTAAAGCACACAATGAAATTGCAATTAAAATGAAAAAGGTTCAATACATTAAAAGTAAAAGAAAGCAAAACCGGGGAAGGAAGAAGAAGAAGCTCCCAACTTGAAATCCTAGAGCTGAAAAGGCTGGGAGGTGTTTATATAACCCAAAAGACCAAAATGCCCTTCTAATGATCATCAATGAAGAACGCCCAGCCATCAGCTCCTAATTCAAACTCATAGTTCGCCAAAACAAGAAATAGAGGAAGAGAGGAACAATCATCAATGAAGAAGAGTGGTGCTTCTATCTTGCGCACGAAAGGAGATGCGAAGGAGAGGAGATGATGACGCGGTGGTCGGCGATGACTCCGTCAACAATGGATGTCGCCGGTAATGCCTATGGCCAGGCGGAAAGACTGACACGGCGGCTAGCTCTGCGGTGTTAAGGGCGCACCTGTACGTGAGGAAGTCGATGCTTCTTTAGGTCTCCTGATTGAGAAAGAGCGGGATGGGCCAACCCCTTTTTCTTTTCCTGACTACGTCTTTTGTTTACCTTTCTTTATTTTATTTTTGTTTTTTTATTTCTTATCTTGTTCTTTTTTTTATTATTTTTCTTCTCTTGGTTTTGGTCAGGGCCAGCTTTTTTTGTCTCTCTGGTCCAAATTTGTTTTTTTCTGGGTCCGATAACACTACTAATAAAAAAAAAAATGTTTCATCTTATACCTCTCTTATCCTACACTTTCAAAAGTTTCATTTTTAATATGAAATATGTATTTCCAACTTTTTTAAAAAATTTATTTTTCATAAATATATTTTGTTTTCTTCTCTTTTATTAAAAACACTTTAATAAATACTTTTATATTTTTTTCTCTTTCTTATTAAAGTCCCTCTACACCATCTTAATAATAATCTAATTTAATTTAAAATTTAAATATTATTTAATATAATTTTATATTTTAATAATTATTAAAATATAATTTATATCATAATAATAGTTATATTAAATAAATAAATATCAAATAACTAAAATAAAAGTAATACTGATAAAAATAAAAAATAAAATAATAACAACAATAAAAAAATTTTGATTTAATATATTTAAATATATTAAATTATATTAAAGTATTACAATAAATTAAACAGTTATTAAATTTTAAATAAAAACAAAATTTTTAAAAATTTATTTATAGGATAGAGTAAAATATGTTAATAGTTTTTTATTTAAAATTTAATAAATATTTAATTTAATTAAAAATAATAATATTCTTTATTATTTTTCTAATTTAATAATTATTAAAATATTATTTATATTTATAATAATTTTATTAAAAAAGTAAAATAAAATAACTAAAATAAAAGTAATAATAATAAAAATAAAAATAGTATTCAAAATCACGATATTTAAATATATTATATTATATTAAAATATTTATTTAATTAAATAATTAATAAAATTTAAATAAAAAATAAATTTAAAATTTATTAATCGGATATAGAAATCCAATAATATATCAATCGGATATGGATATCCGATTAAGAATTTTTTAAAATTTTATATTTTATTTAATTTTAATAATTATTTAATTTAATAATATAATATAATATAATTTAACATATTTAAATATATTAAATATTAAATGTGATTTTAAATATTATTTTTATTATTATTATTTTTAGTAATTTTAATAAAACTATTATAAAAATATATTATATTTTAATAATTATTAAAATATAAAAATATAATAAATAATATTATAATTTTCAATTAAATTAAATATTTATTAAATTTTAAATAAAATAAACTGTTAGCATACTTAAAATTTTTGTTTTTATTTAAAATTTGATAATTTTTTAATTTATTTTAATATTTTAATATACTTTAATATATATTAATATATCAAATCAAATTTTATATTATTATTATTATTATTTCATTTTTTATTTTTATTATTATTATTATTTTAATTATTTTATTTTATTTTTTTAATATAACTATTATTATAATATAAATCATATTTTAATAATTATTAAAATATAAAATTATATTAAATAATATTTAAATTTTAAATTAAATTAGATTATTATTAAGATGATACAGAGAGATTTTAATAAGAAAGAGAAAAAATAAAAATGTATTTATTAAAGTGTCTATAAAAAAAATATATTTACTAAAATATAAAATTTTTAGAAAATCATAAGGTTAAAAATGAAACTTTTGGAGGTGCAGATGAAATGTTGGAGGTGTAAAATGAAACACTCATAAAAAAACTCTCCAAAAATCAAATTTAGGTTAAATTAGAAATTTTATCTAATTTTTAAAAATTTCAAATGATATTATGAAATATAAAACTTTAATCTTTTTTACGAGTCGACCTGCAGTTTATGAACCTATTTCCCAAACTGATGCTTATTTATGTAACTCTATATATTACATTATTATTTCCCAAAATGATAGTATTTATCTTATTATAAATTACATTATTATTATATATTCAATAGAAATATAAATCCACAATGTTAATTATATAAATATGATTAGTATTTTTTAATATTAATCTTCCTCTTCTTCATACACACTCTAGATTTGCACGCACCTAAATCTTTTGGATTGTCGAATCAGAATACAAATTTTGCATTCTCAATTAATAATTTAAAATGGATTTGAAGTCTGAAGGTATAATTCAGATTATGTATCTTTTCAGATTTTTTATTTTATGCTTTAGTTCGTATAATTTGAAATATATTTTTTTATTTTGTGTTTTAAATTGTGCAGTTTAAACTCTAAAAATTATATTTGAATTATTGACTCAAAAAACATATGTTTTAGATTATATAATTTAAAATGCAAAATTTTTATTTTAATTGAAATATATTTTTATTTTGTTTCAAATTATATAACTCAGAATATAAAATTTATGTTTTTAATTATATATTTAGAAACGTTCTCAAATTAATTTTAAATTTAAAATAAAAATGATTGAAATTTTAAAATATATGAAGGTGTAGGAAGAAATCATAGAGGTACAAAAAGAAGTGTTCTTCCCAAACCTAGATTTTCAGGACCAGCCCAAAACAGGCCACCATGTGATGGGTAAAACGTACCATGCCCTAATCAAGCTCAGTCATTTCTTTTTGTATCCTACATTTTGTCTTCTTCATCTTCATATATATGAAATTTTCACGGTATCATGATTTTTGGATTGTGTGAAAATCATTTTTAGCATAAAAGAAAAGTTTTTAAATTATATAATTTAA